ATCAAATAAATATTGCCTAATTTTTGACATATCTTTATTTAAATGAATCGCTTTCATTACTCATTTCGAGGTTATTTGTGGGAGATAGGGTTGAATCGAAGCATTCGAATGTGTCCTGTAAAGTTTTGACCCACAATCACATATATATATGGCCAGTGAAACAATTATCTGTGAAATGGTGAAACAATATTTATTCAAAAGTATAAATTCATTGAAAATATATATCATTTGGCAGACATCAGTTTAGATAAATTCAACCGTTTATAGATATTGATTCCTATTTCCCAACCGATTTTCATTGAGATTTTCCGGTAAGAATTTTGCAACGCAAAGTCTTTTTCTCTCAAAATGCTTATGGACTTTATATGGACCCGATGCGAAATTGTTTCTTTTCTTATATTTTTGTGAAATTGGTATGGAAAAGTAGATTTTTAATCGATTCGAAATGTATTTCTGACTACGTCGTTGTGTGGCCTAATATTCACTTTTGTATGGGTTTTCGTCTATCAAAAAACATTATTGAATAAAGATATTGTTAAATTAAAGACTCATTTCATTTATTAACATTTATTGATTACAGTGACAAACACACAAACACTATATTTGACGATCCAGTGAGGGTCAGCAGAAAAGGCTTTTAACACCAAACCTCATTCTTTATTTTTATCGAATTCTTAGAAGACATTGTGGCGATCACAGAAACCCCAAACATATTTGCCTCTCAACGTGAATGACAAACTCGAATGGCCTGACATTTATCACCCGTACCCAATGAGTAATTTCCATTTACTCTAATAAACGCTGACCGTAATCTTTTGTTTTGCACACAAGAGCGCAAATGATTGTTTGTTTTGTTGTTGTTTTTATAATGAATTTATAAAATTAAATGCAATTTATAATTTTCAGCTCGAAATTGTTTGGGTATGAATGTGTGTAGGTACGTATGTCTACAACGCCATCGCATTGGCTACGCGGATAAAAACACATAGTGTCGACACACCGCTGCTCCAGCATCATACAAAATTCATGGACTCCCATCGCACTCATACCGTTGCAGCAGTCAATATTTCCAATTGTCATTGTTGTTGGAGATGCGGTCCAAGGGGCTGAGAGTTTAGCTGTTGGCTATGGGGGTTTCAGTCAAAGATAAATTGACATTTGTGTAATGTCCGTGATTAGCTTCAGATCAATGTACGTCATGTTAATTGTCGCCATAAATTAATTATTTTACATTAGCAGACATTTAAGTTATTGCACTTGTTTTTATTTTTTCTCTCCTTTTGTAGCTCTTGTTTTGAGAGTAGCCATCGAATGTAGCAGACATGCATGAATTAATTTTAGAATATTGGTCGGATACGGGTTGCTCTATTTTGTTTTGAAAACTTTTGGCCATTGCATTGACATAAATATTATTTAGAAAATTTTTAAGGGTCAAGAAAAGATTTAACTGATTTTGCCACGTATGCCATAATCTTCATTAATTTCCACAGGAAACTTGGAACCTGTACTTGGAAAAAAATGAGGACAGAAAATTGAGACAAATTTTCCTTTTCTTAAAACATCATTGAATGGATACGACTATCAAAACAAAATAGCTGCTAGCCTATAGTGGTCACTGGCATTAAACGTGGAGCCTCGTCGGCATGGCGATCATTTTTTATTGGTCCACACAAAATGCATTACGAATGACCAATCAATCCAACACTGATTAGCGGTTATTGTTACGACCGGGACTTGGCAAACATTAGAAGCTCGGCAATCTCGACGTCAGAAGGCAGTGCTAATGAGCAAAAAGATAATTTAGACACGTAACTAGCTAAGATTACGTTCAGAGTGTGTTGTTGGTTCGAAGCCATTTATAATTGTTTCTTAATTATCAAATGATTGGGGGCCTTTGCCGCTTTCACGAATGGCAAACAATAAGGCCGAGAGAAACAACCATTAATGTCTGAAATGCGATACACGAGGACATGAGGGGGAGTAGAGTGTGTCTCATGGCCATATTAAATTGAGACTGAACAAGTGATTAATCTAATTCAGATTTGAGTTCTGTTGACATTTTTAACGTTGTTGTTGTTTCGTTGTTGGCGCTTTTTGCAATACATACACATACATACCGACATTGAGATTGTTTTATGATACCTCCTAAGTATGTTTGCAGATTTAGTTAGTACTTCTATAAATATTTTTTTTTGTTTTTCGTTAAAAATGCGGGTGCTTTATGTTTCATGTCAGATTGGATGTCTCGTGTTCTTTGCTTTTATTCCGTTGTCCATTTAACGATATTGGCCTTATTTTCCTGCATGTTTTCATGTTGACTATGTCTGCTGTTCTTTATTTCTGTTTCTTTTTCTGTTGTTTTCTTGTTTTCGGTGCATAATAAATGATTTATTATTTTCCTTGGATCCATGGACAATTACAGATTTATTATTGGCTTTTCAATAAAATTTAGTTATAGTGGCGAGGAGAACAGCAACATGAAACAACCGCTTAAACATGTTGCCTTTTCGGAAAAGGTTAGCCAATGGCTCTACTCGGTGGTCTAGAAGCGGTTATAGATTCACAAAAAAGTAAAGACCAGCCGAGAGCTGTGGCGCTTGTTTTATTCAATATTTTCGTTTTGCTAATGTTCGGCTGTGAATATCACATGCAAAAATGAACATGGCAATAAGTTTTGATTAATTATGTGTGAAGGAAACCAACTACAGAATATTCGTGTAAAACTTCAAAGCGATTGTTGTCCAATTGAATATGAATGTTTGCTTTTGATTTGTTTGCGGCATTCTTGTAATGAGCCAGAAAACCAAAACATTAATATTAGCAAAAAAAAGTAAAAATTGCAAAAAAATGTATTTTTTGTCAAATTGAATTTTGTATTGAAAGTGGCACAAGATTGCAATGAGCCATTGGCTTGAACAATTGTCATAAAAAAACATCACACTCTCATCAAAAATCCGATACTAACTCCAAAATTATACGCAAAAACTGTGTGATGTTACCATCTGATTTGAAGTAATTAAAAAGACTTGGCAACATTTTTAAGTGATTTTGATTTTGAGGTATTCTGGATCTCGGGTTCTAGATGGCCAAAAATGACCAACTGTATGATATCTAAATATGCGCAACAACACTCAGCAACAATTAAAGGTAATATAAACAAAATAATTTCTGTATAACCAGTAATAGGTTATTCCTCAACAAAATGTAAAGCAAACGAACTCAAAGTAAGTTATTGGTAATAACGACACATACTGAAAAATAAACTTGGAGAAGAAGAAAAAAAAATGAAGAACACTTAATGCTCAGAAAAGTGTGTTGTGTGTTTAACCAAAATTTGGAAAAAAGAAGTAAAAAACAGTAAGTTCGTCCGGGCCAGTCTTTCAATATCCTCCACCATTTGGGAAAAATTTGGAAATTTTCAAAGCAATAAAAAATAAAATTCTGTTAAAATCTTAAAAAAGCGAATATAGCCGTTATATTGGGGTCCATACGAAGACGTGGACCTGCGTAGGCAACTTTTAAATACCGAAATAAATACCGGATATAGCCGTTATATTGGGGTCTATACGAAGACGTGGACCTGCGTAGGCAACTTTTAAATACCGGATATTGCCGTTATATTGGGGTCTATACGAAGACGTGGACCTGCGTGGGCAACTTTTACATAACGAAAAAAACCGAATATAGCCCTTTTATTGGGGTCTATACGAAGACGTGGACGTTCGTAGGCAACTTTTGTCATAAGCCATTGCAATATTCAAATACGAAACTTGAAAAAAATCCGGTAAATATTATAGCTGAAATCATCAAATCTATCATCATCTGTATCAGTACCTACCTAGATCTGGACCTACCTATTCAATTTTCTGTCACAGGCTGTAGTACCTATAGGAACTATAAATACGAAATTTCAAACAATTTCGATGAATATTGTACCTAAAATCGTAAAAATATCGAATGTAAAGAGGTACTGATATACATATGGGGTCTAAACGAAGACCTGCACCTGCACAGATAATTTTCTGACATAGACTGTAGTTCCTATTATGAACTCTAAATACGAAATTTGAAATAACTCCGGTGAATAATGTCGCTAAAATGAGCAAAATACCGAATATTGGGAGGTACCGTTATATAGAGGCTATAAGAAGACGTGGGGCTGCATAGCGATTTTTGTCATAGGCGGCGGTACCCATTACGAATTCAAAATACGAAATTTGAAACAACTTCGGTGAATAATGTCCCTAAAATCATCAAAATATCGAATGTCTGGGGGTACCGTTGTGCGACATCGTGGACCTATATAGACATTTCTCTCCCAGGAGCTATAATGCTTAGAAACAACTTCTAGTATGGATTTTTAGACAATTCCTTTGAAGAATGTAGCTACAATCGTCAAAATGCCGAATATCATGGAGTACCGTTATATGGGGGCTATACGACATCGTCGACCGATATAGCCCACCTTCGAACATGACATGCCTGCAGACAAAAGACTGTTATTCATTTTGGCTCTAGTGTGATTACAACAGACGGACGGACAAACAAACGTTGATCAAGAATATACATTCTTTGTTATGTCTAAATTTATTGTTTCGATGAGTTACAAACGGAATGACGAACTTAATATACCCTTCATGCTATGTATGGTGGAGCGTATAAAAAAGAGTATTGTAGTAAAATAAAACATTAATTTAAACAAATTAAATGTTTTTTCCACTTCTTTGGTGACTATCTATTTCGGATGACAAATGGGTTAGTAGGTTGATTTTTCAGTAGCTACGATTGCCTAGGAAACCATGTTTTTTTATAATTTAAACCCGCATCCCACCTTAAAACCAATAAAATACAACTGCTTTCATATAATATTTTAAATATGCTTTTATTTTGTGCCAGCACTTTGGTGGATTGTTGAGTTTTTGATTTTGGATAATTACTTTCGGTTATAGGTTTTCAGCACAATTCAATATTTGTTTACTCTGTGATTTTGACAAGTACAATTTTGTTTTTTTTAGTTTAAAATAGGTCTGGTTTGCATTACCATATTCTATTACATAGCTAGGTTTTATTTAAACATTTATATATGTATATTTATAAATTACAGGTTAACTATCGGCTAATTTCTTCAATAAGACACTGGTTTTGCATAAAGACACTTGATTTGTGATTGGAATTGCATAGGAAATACGAAATACTAAAAGATCTAAGATAATTATCCTAATTTAGATTTTCGCAACGTTTGAGTTGATCAATCATTTTCGATTGTTTTCCTTTATCAAAATAAACAAAAATACGAAATAAATAAATTTTAATTGGGTGTAAATACAACAAAGTCGAGAATATATATATATTTTATTTAACAATATACATGTATGTAGTATTTGCATGTAGAGGGTCGATCACATTGGCATGATACGAAAATTAGGAAACAATTGCTGTCCAGGAATAAAAGGTTGATTAGAAAGGAGAAAATGTAAAAGTTATAATATGGCAATCGTGTATTTCACAGATGAAAGTGTACGGTATACGACTTCTTTAGTTTGGATCGATTTCATTTGTGTGTGTGTGGGTGTCTGGGTGTATGTGTGTGGGAACTCCTAACAGAGTCATTTCATATTTTGTAAAATTACTTCATAATATCTTAGTCTAAATCTTTAATCTAACATTAACTAAAGTCCTTTGGATTGTTGGTTTGTTGCTGTTGTCGTTTCCTACATCGCGCTATTAAATATGTAATTAAGTGTTGGATCAATGTGAGGATTTGTGAACATCATTAGTGTGTATGTTTGGGACAAACATCCTGTTGCGTTTGTACGTATTTTGAGGATCTGGGGCCATTCTACTTATTTTTTGGCAAATGTCGTTTCATATGCAGCGCCAAATGATCGCTTCGTGCAAAGCTTCGCTCACAGACAATGCATTTGAAGGGCTTAGCACCGGTATGTTTGCGATAGTGGCGCGTTAACTCGTCGGAACGTGCAAATCGCCATTCACACTCCGGCCACTGACAGGTATAGGGCTTCTCTCCTGCAACGAAAGAAAAACAAAAAATTAATATTTTTAATAAAATTGTAAAAAAAAAATAAATTATTTGTGTAAAAACGGCATTCGACGTTTGTGTTTCAAGTCTTTTGTCCGACTTAAATATTCAAGTGTAATTTTTTTCATCACAGATGTTTTTTAAATTTACTTCTCTATTCATGTTTCGATTGCACAATGTTTTCCCTGAAATGTATTCCTTTATCGAAAATCAAACATTCAGATCGACTTCCTATTTTGTGAAACCAAATAAACAAATCTAAAGGAAACTGTGAGATTTTGTTTTCCACCGTCTCGCTTCGTGTTTGTTTCTCCCCTGTTACCAATTGAATTTGATTACTATTGTCATAATACTTAACGATGCAAATCAAAACAAATCAAACCAATCATCGCAACTTCCAAGAAAATGTCAAAAATCGACTGTCATTCAGCCGCCAACATAACACAATAACCGAGCCAATCATCAGCAAAATATCCAAGCGGAATATGAGGAAAATAAACCCATGCAACAACAAATCAACAGCCACCAGACGAACTATGGTAGACAGGCAGCCATCAAATCGGTGAACCTTATCTGAGACCAGAATATAACAAGCCAACCTAAATACAACTGGTACAACGGGCCCGCTGCCCCCTCGCCGACAATCCTTGCCTTTCAACTCCAAGTCAAAATGTTCGGCTCTTGCAGAATTTGGAATTGCGGTAACAGCTCTCGGGTGAGATGACAACAGTGCCATATTTTTCCTTAACAAGACAATGAGAGGCACTGATTAAATCCAACAACAAGAAGTTCTACGACCCACCAACCTACCAAACAGCAAAGAAGCTAGCCAAGCAAACACTGGCAACTAAATTTGGCAAAGATATTTTTTGATTGAAGCTAATATGCCGCCTACACACGGCTGAGTTCGTAACGTTGTGTGTGTGGATTGAAAGGGTGCCTTGTAGTGTGCGACAGGCTTTTAGCAGGGAAATCCAGCTTTTAACCACAAGTTTGCAAACACTTATGGTCGCCCGTTTGCAAAGCGAAAGACGAAATCCCATCAGGTAGGCAATAAAGCGTTTGAAGTAAACAGGCGTCTAAATGTTTGCAGATAATTTTGACTTCCAAAAAAATGCGAGGAGTTCGAATAGAAGTTCGATGGAGTCTAACACGATCTTTTTTCAAAACCAACTTATTAGTCTGAAAAATTAAAATAATTTCATTCATTTCAAAGAAAAACAAAATTCTATGTTCGGTTTAGCCGAACGTTTGACACAAGAGAGTCAAGTGCCAATCCGGAAATAGTAAATTGTAGACACGATTCAGGCAATTGGGAGGACTACCATATTATGTCCCACTTTAAGTGTCTATACATGTTACAGACATGCATTGGTTATGACTAAAAATGTTACTCATTTAATTAGTCCCGATGGCAGACGGACATATCTTATTAATTAAACTCGGTGACAATGAACAAGTTTTCTCACCGAAATCCCATTTTTCCGAAATCCAAAAGCCGTTTTGAGTTTGAACTTTGGAGAATACTTTATTACAATTTTGATTCACATCGTTTCAAGATTAGTTAGTAATTTCCATACTTTTTTAATGTCAAATCCAATATTGTTCAACTTCGTCTTTAGCCCTACGCCGTGATTTTGATATATTTTTCCTTTCCTTCGCACATGTGGAGCATTCATTAGTCGCAGTGGCAGATGTTGATAGCTAACACAAATAAAGCTCGTTAATGCGGAAATTCGGCAGCAATTGTTGGAGCAAAAATCCAACTCATGCCAACCAAACATCATGTTCGTACAACCGATTGATGTTGTCAGTATTTTAGCATTTATCCTCGTATAAGCATGTTCGCCTTATTTAGTCCTTTAATGGGCACATAATTGCAATTGGAATAACAAATAATAATAATAACAACATTGTCAACACAATACACAAACAACAACAAAAGCAGTCACAACCACTGCTAAGCTACACGCCATGGGGTTTGCGTACTTCAAATAAGCGGTAGCAAAATTTCGTAGCCTTTTCTTTGTTTGTATTAACCAGCAGGGCAAAATTATTACAGCAGCCACTTAGAGCATAGATAGCATTTAACTACTCCCATGTTGTTGTTATTATTATTTGTATTTTTTGCTATTTCTGCCAACCATTAGAAATAATAGGGCTAATTCTGTCTGGCTGCCTTAGTAGAGCAAGAGCTGGAAAGACCCGAGTTAGGGTTATTAAGAAAAATGACTATTGATAGGATACAATTACTGTTAAGTGGGCCGCAATTGCGTCTGCATCAGCTCAGCTCACATTGCCTTCGTTGATCAACCAGCCATGGACAGAGACACGGTCTGGTGTGCCTGCTTGGCTTGATTTGGTCGCATGTCTTTTACGCTGTCAATTCGTGAAATATGCGTAGGTGTTGAAAATGTACCATTAATTGGTGCAAGGCATGAATCATAACATCGTTTAGACGAATGACATGAATGTTGCGCTTGGGTTCGAAAGTGTTGGAGCAATTGGCAACACTTTGCCATTAAATATACAATCAACCGTGTAATGAAGCATTGCCGGAGATGTTGGAAAAGACGTAAATATATATATCATATTATGCATCTACCATATAGGATGGCACTTTCAATGGGAAACAAGGATAAACTCCTTTCAAAAAGGAGTTTGATTCCATTTTATGATCAATTTTGCCATTTTACAACTTATTCCATTTATTTCCATTATATCGGCATTTTCCAAAATGAAAAAAAAATACCACTCGGTGGGTGGACATGTGTCATTCTAGCAATTAATTTGAAATCATTGGAAATAGCTACATAAAAATGTTCGCATTAGAAAATTAAAAATTATTATTATTGTTGCCGCTAACATTTTTTACATTTCAATTAAAGCAAGCCAAGTTTTTCTCGGAATTGCATAAATTTAAAAACTTTGTTTTTCCAAATTTTATTTCTGTTTTTGGCATAACCAGTTGGTCGATTTCGTGGTTTAAAGATTTTTCATACGTTTTTCCTCCTATTCTGCAGATGCAATTGGGAAACATATTGAAGTTTATTCGTGTAGTTTGCGGCGTACATATTTCCATACATACACTACACCCAAAAATCGTACTCCATCATCATGGCCATTGCCGGCGATGTTGGTTGGACACGTATTAGCATTGATTGTAAACCGAACTCTAACTGGTGGTTTTACAAAATCCAATACATGTTGCAGTTCGATGTTCTTGTCAATTGTTTCTATGTAGATCCGATGCCGCGAACCAACAACTGACTATTGTTATTGCCGTGCTCTCTTTTCGCTTCCACCTGATACCAGGCGTAACTGGCGTTTGTTCGTCGTATTCCATTATCAACATCGTATTAACGAGAATATAAAGTTTTGAATTTCTGGTTTTTGGTTTTCTCCAGCAGAGAGATCAGTCGTGTTGCATTTGGCAGTTATTAAAAGTGAATATTTTATTCACGATTTCATTTTTCGAGTTTAGCATTGCATTTGTAAAGATATCAAAAAGACAGCTGACAAATTGTTGTTGATGTTGTGTTTATTTTAATTAAGGAATGTTAAAGTGCCGCCGGCTGCTAGAAGTGCACTCCAACGAATCGTGGGAAAGCCAGTAGAGAGATGATCAGAGAATTTCTTCACTGATTTTCTCAGCGCCGAAAAGTATGCTTGAATCGAACTTGTACGAATCAATGATTACATGATTCCAGCAATTAGCACAGACTTTAAAATATTACTTCCTTACATCGTTCAGCATCGTTCAATACAATTTAGTTATTCCCGGCAATTTTCCAAATCAGTAAGCTTTTTAATAATTTGCTCTCATTTTGAATTGAATTACAGGCTATTATTACTGGCTTCGGCTATGCCATTACACATAACTAGAAAGGCTTCATTAAATGGTTTATAGAACGCCTTGATGTTCACATGCTGATTAAGTTAATCTGCAACATGTTTCCATTTTCTACAGTTAACCCATTTAAGTCTCACAAAGTGACTGGATAACATCTTAACCCATTTTACTGTATAACATTCATAACAATAGGAAATATGTAAGGTTATGTTTTAATAGACAAGCTCAGCTGTGAAGAGGTGAGTAATCAATGGGTTAACATACCCGCAACAGTCGTATTTATGAAACACTGAAATGGGAACGATTTCTCCCGAAAACATTGTCATCCTTTCGTTGAAATAATACGTCATTATTGCCAAAAAAAACGAAAGAGAAGAAAAAACCCCATTCAGCTTTGGAACAACGGATTTAATCATCATAACATGACAACCGTTAATAAAAATTTCTACGAATGTTTTCGTTTTATTGTCGCATGCACTTCATATTCATAACAATCAACATCATCAGCAAACAATCGACACAACGTAGATCAGCTTGTTATGACGGGCCATAAAAAGTGTCATAAAAACTTTTTGTCCGGCCATATGAGGAGTTGCAAATAAATAAAAACATAAGCATCGGCTCAGATTTCGAGGGTTACTTCCCAAAACACACATTTCAGCGCTTGGCGTTTCCATTAGCATTGCTTCGGCAAAGTGGCATTGCGGTGAGTACAGCGAGATCGCCTTTTCGTTTTTTGTTTTAAAAATCGTGCTGGAATTTTGATGTTATTATAAACCTATTATTTTTTTAATACTTCACTTATTGTTGTTGTCTGCATTTAACAACATTGAGTTTACATTTTGATTGTAAAAAATTACCAGCAGAAAAAAATCAGATTTTGGGAACATCAAAAGCTCTCTGCAAGAACATGTTAAGTGCGAACTATATATTCGTATTATTAGGAAGCTATTTATTATTTTGCGATATTTTATGTGACATCCAGAGAAAAAACAGTGAAAAGGCGTTAGGTTTGAGCGTTCGAGCCTTTCACTCTCCACCATAAGCCTGATTTATGGGAAACTCCGTGGTAAAATGTGTCTTAAGTACAGCTCAAATAATTGTATCCCGCCATTGCTCAATAATAATTTTACGAGATTATCTTCTATATTCCTCTATTTAAATTTAATGGAAGTGAAGCCTTATCCACAAGGAATTCAAAATGTGACTCTATTGCCAGTTGGTTTTAGAGTGTGATTTAAACTCTTAACATTTGGACTATGAGGACGATATTTATTTAGTTTATCAACAATATCGGACATATTGCTCATTTACTCAAAAATTGTAATAACTATAAAAAAATTTTCCCAATTACAGATTTCAAAGGATATTCATATCGTACATTTGTCTTAACTACCTGTGCAATATTAAACATAATTTCAATAATTATTCAAGAATAGAGTTTTCAACATACCAACTTGAAATTTTGATACAATATGAAGTGGAATATGAATTGTTAATTGTCATGATAACATGTCATGATAACTCGCACAAGAAAAATCCAACCAAATTTAGTACCTTCTATTATAGAAATATAATGCAACTTCACAATATACCATGAAATAGGGTTAGAAAAAAGTTTAACTTTTGAGTGAAAAGTAATGTATGTGAGGGGTATGTGATTACTCTTACTAAATATCTCTATTTTCGGGAGCATAGTACTGTTTCTGAGGCTCATATGCCTTATTATAATGATGAACCTTATGTGATTGTCATATAAACTTCACGAAGGAGAGCTGAATAGAATGAAACTCCATCTATTCCTTTCATTACAGGAATAAGTGAACACAGATTTACGTGAAACTAATCGAAAAGGGTTATCTAGACACCTACAATGAAGTTGGTGTGAAGTTGGGACCATGAAAACGTAAATCTGGAAAAAAGTTAAGGCCTTAATTGCATTTTTTCTTTGACAAAAAAAATCTTATCCAGCGCCGCTTAAGTGAACATGCTCACAATTGCTACTGTATACAGCAGATTTATTGATTTTAAAAATGTTCATATTTGACTGTCCGCAAATCTGAAAGCTTTTCGGTTTTGCAATGAATTAAACGCTCATAAATGAAAACAACCTACATTTTCAGGTTATAAAATTGACGGTGTTTTGTATCTTTCAGACTCGAACACAACAATAAAGTCCTAAATTGCAACGTATTGTTTGCAGTAGAATGAGAAAATGCTGTTGTTTTCTGTATCTTTTTTTTTTCGTCAATTTACTGACCATTCATACACGTCGTCATGTAATTTGGAGGAGTTGTTCGGACACTCATTCATGCATTCATCACTTAACCTAATTTATAAGAGGTTCTGCCATTGTGCAAAAGAAATTCGCCACTGCCACTGCCACTGCAACTGCCACCACCGCCGCCGTCGCCATCATCAGCACAGCACAACAAAAGAATAACACCGTAACGTAACTTAACACAGTGACCCACAAAAGAACCCGTCGCCCAACAACGGCAGCACCACGCCAGCATCCTCGTCCGAAACGGCAGCTCAAATGCATTACTTATGCACACAAACAAAAGCAAATCAAGAAGCCAAAAAGAAAAAGCTAAACAATTGTTGACTAAACACGCCAAAGAAAACACTGGTTAAGGATGCTTGAGCAGCGCCGACTTTGTTACCATTCATCTTCGTGGTAGCACAAGGTGTACCGTGTACACCGTACAATATTTGTTTGTAGAACATGGTCAGAGGCTCATTAAAGTGTGCACAAACGCTGGCAGAAAAAAAAACTCGAAGCCAAAAAAAGAAAACACAAACAAGCGAAGCAACACAAACACAGGCCCACATGGATGGCAGAGCAGAGGAATTTATATGGTAGACGGACGGACGGACATACGGTTTGTTTCGCTAGCTTACAGCTTACGGACAAACATCGCACGAAAGTGGACAACAGATGGTGAAATCATGAGATTTAAATTGTTGGGCGATCCATTTGCAAAGATTTAGTTGGTATTCCTGCAGATGTGGGATGATAATGTCGGTGGCAGTGTCCTGACCGTTTTACTTCAAATCGAAAAATTGTAGTTCACTCTCCAGCACATCATTCCGACCTCGTACGAACGCTGGCTGCACTTAGCCTCTTTTCAGCAAGGCTATTTGATGAAGCAGTGATCTGTTATATTTGCTGCCGTTTGACTAAATAATTTATCAATTTCAATTCTCTGGGCTGTTGCGCCGCCTTCGGTTGTACGCGAGTATCCGCAAAACGTGATATAAGATTTTGTGGTCAAGTTATATAAACACCAACAAAAAAAACGCAAAAAACGCTGTTGATTGTTTAGATTTTCTGGACGTCTTTCGTTGCTTATCTATGCGTCGTTGCATCACCAGCATCTTCGTTAAGGCTGGGTCCCAGAGTCTCAATGAAAGCACACACACACACACACACTGCAGTACAACAAATCCGCTCGAATGTGGATGTAAGGTGGTATAATTTTTAAGCTGTTGGTGCTACACGAACGGACCAATGCACCCGTCTGTAACTACTTCTAAGGGGTGGGGGAAAAGGATAGCAAACTCTGACTTAGGCATAGACGAAATGAATAAATAGATGCAATGGCAGTGGCATCGACGGTAGCGATGCAGCCTATTTTTTGCGGTGTTCCGTGATTTTGCTGGCTGTGACTCAGATTACATGCTCCAAAAGTTATTTGGCAATTTTCTTTCTGGCCGGCTATTTATGTAGCTCTCCCGTGGATTTGCCTGCACTGTTTTTTCGTGTTTCTGCCCGCTGTAATTGTCGTTGTACATTTGAAATGGTTTCGTTTTATTCATATATGTATGTCTGTCTGTCTGTCTGTCTGTATGTATGTATGTCTGCTTGATTGCAGAAACAAGCGCACAAATTAATAAAATTAAATTGCAGCATTTATTTTGTTTTCTGTTTAAATAAAATCGTTGTTTCGTGCCGTGTCATTGGTGCTGTTGCTCATGTAAATGTTGTTTTTGTTTAAATCCTGTGGAACTACGGCAATAATTAATAGCTGGATACATTTTGATTTATTAAAGCTGTTTTGATGAATAAACTTTCATGGCAAATGGATTAATCCACTTAATTGCAATTATTTTGGGTGGGAACGATGAACTCAAAGAGCAGGAACTCTTACACATTCATCAATCGGGCATGTCGCTCAAAACATTGTCATTGCTTCATATACGAAAACGTCCCCTTAAAATTCAAAACTTTAGAATATTTAATATATTTAAAAATTATTAATAGCGAAATTAATATTTATCAAAAAAAAAATATTTTGAGTCATACGGCAAACAAGTACTCCTAATGTGGGCATGTAGACGTTATCTGCATTGTTGCATTTGAGCTTAGATAAAGAAGCACTGTTATAAGGAAATTTGAAAATTCTATTAAATAAATTTTACAGATGCTGCCAGAAAATTTGGGTGAATTTTCTGTGATTTCCAACAACTGGTACACCTACCCTATATATATTGAGAAGAATTTGTGTCATATGCTTCCACACATACAATTTTTCATTCATAGCCAGTACTTTTTAAATCAACGTTTCCGTTTTTATCGCAAAAGAAATTAGTTTTCATGGCAACCCGTGCTACAGAAGAGAACAAACTACATACTCCACTCCCGAACCAGTAAGAATCAATTAATTTTGCAACCTTTTCCACTTCTTCTTAAAATAAATTTGTAAGTTTATTTTTCGTGCGGTAACACGCACACAGAGATTCCTACAAAGCTTATCCTTTCGTATTTTTTAAATCTGATTCTGAACCACTATTTTTATAAAGACAACAAATATACGTAGCTATGTCTGTTTTATGCGAACTTTGACAATAGTTCTATATGTAGTCTGTACTTTGTTTAATGTTTCACTTCAACTGTCAGCGTAGTAGCCACAACATGAACTGACAGTATTGAGGGTTTGCTAACTTGCCAAATATTTTAGCCATCCATTGACATTTAAATAGTTTATGCATAAATGCAATCACAATTATTTCAATCAATGATATGTAGATTTGTAGTCTCGCAAAATAAATGTACGTCTGAGTTAGTATGGCAGGCATGTTCTATTTGTGTGTATGTATGTGTGTGTGTGTGTGTTTGTTTCTTTGTGTACAAAGCTTGCTTAGCACAAACACAGCGATTTGATATTTTAACCGATTATAAATAATGTGTTGGGTATTTTTACACGCCAAAATATATACGCGATCGACTGAGGCTCAAAGAGCTATGATGCTGTGGTATCTCCGAAAATTATGTTGTGAAAAATATTTGGGTGTAAACCGCCAAAACTCAAGCACCACCAAATCTTCTTGCACTTTATGCAAATAAGTGAAAATGTCAGAATATTTTTCTTAATCATCTCGTGTCAAACAGTGTCACTTGAATAATAAAATAATGGGATTTGACACAAAGTGCACGAAAATGCCGCAAAAATTATTTGACTGAGACAAGCTATTTGAAAATGTTAAATGCAGCTAGCAATCTGAGGATCATTTCAAAATGCAGACGGAACCAAAGGGAATAGTTGGCTAAGAAAACAAACCCAAATAAGTTTTCCTTTTTTTGAATTTTCTATCGAAATCTGAGCCTATTTCACCAAAGCGGAAAAAATACTTTCATAGAAATTGGACATTAAAAAGCAAAATAACAACAATCCAACAATGATTGAGAAAAATATTAATTATATTTTAAATTTTAACAAAAAAAAAAAAAAATAATTCAAATTTCCTTTTTTCTCTTGTAAATTGTTCATACTGAAAATAGGAGTCCCTCATAAGAATTAAATTATTTGGAAATGATTTTTTTCAATTTAAAAGGAATGTGGTTTCTAATGTTTCATATAAAATAAGGAAATATCTATTAACTAATTATTAGTCGAAATGCCTTACCATATGTAGCTTCAAGTTAATTCGTTACTAAACAAAAGACTTAAGACACAAACGCACATTAGAGTTAATTGGAAATGTAGTCGGTGTGAGAACAACAACAACAGCAGCAGCAGCAAATAAATACAACAAAAGTACTCACCTGTATGTATCCTTTGGTGTGCTTTTAAATGTGAACTTTTGGTATAAACTTTTGTACAACCTGTCAAAAAGAGACATGGAAACAAAGAAAGATAGAGAACAATACAAGAAAACAATATTAGAAAGGTTAACAAGCAAAACAATTTGAAACGAGCATAGAAATGAACACGGCATGGCAAATGGATTCGGATTCGGATTTGGAATTGGAAACCGAAATTATAAATTTTGTAGCAAAAAAACAAATCCCATTTTCCATTGTTAATAATAATTTTAATAACAACTCTTACATACATCCATACATGTGTTTGTTTGTAACCACAACAACACGACTCTTGTGGCATCTCGACCTCCCCATCTTCCCCGTACCGGATGGTTTCATTAAAAGACTAACCGTAATTGTAATTGGAAATTGAAGTATGTAAGTAGGTAGGTATGTACATGTCTCCTTCTGTTTTTCCTCAGAGGTGCAAAAAAGAAAATTTTCCTTAACTTAAATCGGCCGATACTGGCGAACGAAATACTCTCTGAATTGCCCACCTTTTTGTGGTAAAGAGCAATTTAGTTGCTGTCTGCATTTGTGTGTGTGTGTTGCATGTTATTTGAATGTTGGCAACCTGTTGCTTGTCGTGTTTTATGTGTTCACCAGGGGGAAGCCAACACTAATCGAGCAGCATACACGCCAAATCGTACCCGTTCTCCGATCTCCGAACCTATGCCGTTTTCCTCGACGGCTTTATGGATTTATTTGTGGTATGTCTTATTATAATGTTTTTGTGTGCTTCCAAGTGATCACATGGTCAGGTATTTTGGTTTGTTTTCTTGTGCGGATTTGCCTTTAACATTTTTGCCTGGCTTGCATCTTGATATGGTTAATATTGGAAATATTAGTTAGTGCTGGTAGCACCGCGCACCCAGCCGCACGGCAGAGAAACAACAAATAGTATTTGAATGCAAGCATTACATTTTTTGGTTTAAATAACACAAATTAAGGTTGTTTATTGGGTCAATTGGATATTGAGAAAATCGAAGACAAATATGTACAACTGCAGCAGCGGTAGCAGCAGCAGCAGCAAAATAAGGCAAATTGTGTGGTTAGTTAGTCAAGAGCTGTGTACGAGCAGCAGGTGAGTTGGAAAGTTTTTTTTTTTTGCCCGGCGTATTATTCCTGAGTATGTCTATATTTTATATTCGAATTGAAATATGTTAAGTCGAAGTGACATGTAAAATACATACCTTATCCAATTTAAATGGACTTTCGCCAGTATCCATTGGATTTGGTATCATTTCCATATGTGGTGTCAGCGATGCTGGATTCCAGTGTGCCTACTTTGGCACCTCATTGTTTTAATCTCCGACAAAGTAGACAACAACAAGGAAAGAAAACCAACACACATCTCCTCACATGCAAACAGAAACCAACAAAACGGACAATGATTTGTGCCTCTGACTCTGTTTAAAATAAATTGAACGTGCTACGCATGCCAGATCCGCTTCCCTAGTTTATGTCTACGAAACGTTTCTGTTTTAATTTGACTTCTTCGAAGACAGGCATTGTTAATACACTTGTTTGGTTCATACTTTATAGGCACGTTACATTTACGGAAAAGGCATCGCATGCCGGGAACAAGAATGGATTGTTCGACTCGACGAGTGCGCTACTAAGAAACGATAATTATTATTAATTGTTGTGGCAATTTTGAATAGACTTTTTTTTTCGTTGGGTTATTAAGGTTATTGGAGACACATAAAAGAACAATGGCCATACCTCAGCATGATTCCAAAAAAATGTACAATGGTAGTATATAAGCACTTTCTAATACGGGTCGTTTTTGTATTAGAACAGTCAATTAGATGAAAAAAGTAGAAGACCAAACAATTGCAAGTTTGTGTTCTTAAAAATTTGAAAAAAGTGTTTTTATTCACAATTTCAAAATGCACATATCTGCAACTTATGAATGAACATTGGCGTACGAGAAATATATAGGAAAACCCCGCAATCGAAACTTTATACACATTTCTTACCGAAACTTTTATTTTAAAGCTCTGTCAAAAAATATGTTATTTTTAGACACATTTTAGTGATTAAATAGGTAGCGGTTGAGTTAGAAAATCATTTCGAATAAGTTTGTGTTCATAAATGTAGATGCTACACAACAATGATGTCAAATTCCTTGTAAGTTACCCAGGGTAAATTTTTCCGTGTGGTCTTCAAACAACTACTTACAATCACACAAATCGTTTAAAGTATTAAGAGGCTGCGACCCTCGATTACGTGAAAAAATTAAGAAAATCTCGAAATTGTGTCTTTAAAATTTCTTCCTTAATTTTCACACAATTTCAAGAATTAAAAAAAGTTTTTATTATAAGGCTTTGAGCATTCCATTCAGGAGTATAAGCAAATCGCTCGGTCTACCAACGCGTCAAGTACAGCTGACCATGAGGAACGCAGGAATATTCCAAATTTAGTCCTCATACACTTGGAGTTTGTCCTGTGCAAATACCAAAGGTACACGGAACTTATTTTTTTAAAGTTGAACAGCATTCTGTTTCTATTAGAGGGATTCGGGTAGCAATACAACTGTACCTACAATACTACCCCGTAAGAATCGTAGCCTGAATTAAATTATTGTGTAGTTTTTTTTTAATAGACTAATTCTATTGCAAGGTCATTGTTTCCTAATAAAATAATATAGAAATCTGAACCGATTTCAATAAAATTTGACAAAAAAAAATATTTTTAGACCAAATTCCGTCACACATTCCATACTTCATTGGCATTTGAGAATGATGCTATATTCAAATCTTAACCTATTTCAATATTATTTGCCAAGTTATTGTTTGGGCCAAATTTCACAGATTACAGATTCCAAATTTCATTGAAATTGCGGATACATGTCGTGTTTGGTCCATCAAATACACGAAATCTGCTAAAAATATATATGGGAGCGATATTCAAACCTCCAATTCTGTTACACATTCCAAATTTGAAGACTGCGTCTGTAACCGATCAATAGATATGTGCATACAAAATCTAAAATTTTTGGAGATACTTCCGATTTCAGTTTCCTCTTTTATAGATATAGACTTTACCGAGATTAAAATTACATGTAACGTTTTTTTTATTTCAAAATATTCCCATGGTGGTTATTAAATATAAAAGACCTGCATGCATGATCTGTAACTTACATAATAGGCCTGCTGCTTCCTAGTATTTAATCATATATTTTTCTATTTGAAAAATATTTAAAATTTGTCTATTTTCATTTTTCAAACACGTCAAAACTCATTTTATTTTCACGCAGTGCTTACATCGAATAACCATACATTTGGACCATGTTCCCCAAGATGTAGGCTTCAACTCTTTCTTTAAGCACAGATCTTTATTCAATGATGTTTACGCGGACATTCTTGATGGTCCATATATATAATGGGAACTTTGTTAAACAAAATCTAATTTTAAAAATGAATTTCGAACATTTTCACTGAGTTTACTTTGTTTAACTTCAAAATATCCCTACATCCCCAAGTGGTTTAAAAAAAGACCAGCTCCCTGCTATTTTTAGATTCCAATTGTTATTGTGATCCCAATTTGAAATTTCTCTATTTTCATTTTTGTCGAACATAAAAAAACCTAATAATATTTATTAACTCAATTATGACTCTGAAAAGAGTCGCCTAACGACGACAGTCCAATAGCCATTATGTTTTATAGATTTAACCTTATATGATGTTAGTCAGTAGTCTCTGTTGTCAATATGGTCTGTCACCTGACTTGTCTGAGCCAAGAAAAATGCATTCCTCACTACCACCACCAGCACCAAGCAACCCACTATTGATGGGAGATTTCGTTCGTCGGACTGACAACGGCAATTGCACGTACAAAATATTTGAAATGTCGACTTCAGTTGACTGTTTTTCCATTATTGCTTCTTCCACTACTCCATGTTGTAGCTGTTGTTGTTGTTTTTGTTGTTGTCATTTTCTTTCTATATTTAACATTACAATGCCCGGTTAATAATACCGTAAGAATCTGGGCAAACATACAAAGCTATTTTAAGTTAGATCAGACAGTCAGCCAGCCAGCCAGCGCGGTCGTTCGAAGTGGCGAACGGACAAACAGTGGACGGACTCTTGTATACTTGGAGAGACTTGCGGACACTTTGGTACGCATGAAAGTTGATATTTTTTCTATTCGGGTTGCTGTGTGAGGTATGATGTTATTGTCGCGACTGCAACAACGACTTCTACATTTCAAACAAAACGTATTTGTTTTGAATTGTTGCTGCAGTGTATGTACGGTGTTGGGCATGTGTGTGTGTGTGTGTGTGGATTGTTTTTGTTTTGTCTTGACAATGCATTTCAGATGTCAATCTATAATCTTAACAATCTGATGCGTGCATTTATGTCATAATAACTTCATTTGGTAGCTAAGTGAATGAGTTGTGCTTCTGGTAGCACGGGTAGACGAGGTATGCATTAAGCAGTAGACGACAGACAGACACGCTTGCGCACAGACGAGCGAGCGAACGAACAAACAAACAACCACACAAACGGACACACCGACAGACTGGCTAGAGACACTGGCACAGACTAGATATGTTGACTCTAGTTTACCGGCATTATGTGCCAAAATTGGTATCTAAACGTGTCACATATGCCTTTAAGACAATCATTTAGCCAATTTCTGCACAAGTCGCTGACTGTGTCCTCGTTTATTGTTTTTGCTTAGTATTTGTAGTTGAACTTGTTGAGATAACAAAGGCGGAGGTGGTGGTTGCAAGGTGATGTTCTCTTAAGCAAAGTACTCCAAATCGCAATTCCTGATGACGGGATATTGATTGTGAACTTTCTTTTTGGAAATTGTAATCAAGATCATGAAGAAGTTTCTTCCTATTTCTTAGTAGATTCATTTTAATGATTCCGATATTATTAACAAGAATATCAGGCCACAAGTCAAACCAAAGAGCTGTGAGGAAGCCCATGGAACAGAAGACTGCCCTTGCAGCTCACTGTGCCTTGACAAATCGCACCTCTTGAAAATATGATAATGTGAAAATATTGACTAAATTGACAAATTATCGTAAGCGTTACACTCATGAAACGTTACATATCATCAACCCTCCAAATGACTTCCGATTGAATTACAAAACAGACACATATACTTGCGCTCAAATACATAGATATACAGGTAATAAATGTAGACATAATATACATTAGTTGAGGAAAACTCGTTAAAGAAGATTTACCTAACTTTCGCACAAATTCTGCTAACAATTATAGTTCCCTAAAGATGATTTGGGGTTGCAATCGAAATATCGGAAAATAGAAAAACATGCAATTCAGCAGAACAATTCCAAAATCAAAAACTATCTCAAATAAGGCAAACTATATTCACACCAACAACTTCAAATTTATGTAATGAGAACCCATCACATATTTCAGCATTTGGTGGCACTTATCTCATATCACGATAGTTGCAGATCCATTTCAGGATTATCTAGGTAAATGTTCCGTAATTACATGAAAATGTTTTTCGATTAGAGGTTCTCCTTATTTTATAACTGAGTGTTATTTTTGAACAGAAGATCTTGAAATATTTTCTATTTTCACAAAGTTTACAAAATGATCAGCAATGCCAAAAGAAATTGATGTAGCCACCTTGTCTCGCCACCATCTTATTCCTGATAGCACGAGGTACGTTGATTCGAAATGTTCTGGAATGAGAAGATCTACCCCCTGTAATATCAAATACTAAATATATTTATAGGCTAAGCTAGTTAAAGATATGGCTAAAATGAAACCGTTTGGAAGTTTGATCCAAATACTAACGAAATAATATCAAATTTACTTGCAGTTGCCACACCGCAGATCTTGCGGTCACTCTTGTCGTTTTTCCCAGATGTATCGAATTATTCAGAGTTCACGACCTCTAAAGAGATTGTTAATTTTTCACATATGTTTTCATATAACAGTTGCGGGATTTGACAGGTTGTAAATGGGTCCTATCACTAATAAAAGTAAAGACGTTAGTATATTAATTAACATTTAACACTTTTATCTAATAATTGTTTTGGTCGATTTCAACCCCTCAGCATTATCCGATCATCATCAAATTACAGAGGCTATTTCCATGTTGACAACCCAAGTAAGAATATACGTTAGTTTCGATTAGAGAAATGTTTGCCAGTTTTACCAAATCAAATGTTAGATTGGCAGGACCTAACCTGTTTGCCTGATCCAATTCAATGAAAAAATCCTAAAAATCCCACACACACACACATATGCATACTAATACGTTAAAATGCCCGTTCTTTTCTAAACTCGGTGTTAAAGCAACAAAAACGATTTTGACATTGTATGCTTTGTTGCTGTCATGTGTAACATGCACAATTTTGTCCATAAACCATTGGAGAACTGCGGATGTCTCTCCTAACTCCAGTCTCATCGAGGAGTCGTTGTCTCATAGACGTAGTCGCTGTCCCGCCGTAAGACCGTAAGTTGTACGACATGACATTAATGCAGAAAATCCACTTTTTTCTGGTCACCCCATTCGATTGTCTCCGGCGAGCAGTCGACATCTGAGGTGTAAGCAGCACATAAGCATGTTTGTACGAACGTATGCTTTTTTGCTCCTCAACTTGTTGCCACATCAAAACAACGAGACAAACAAACGGCCAAAACTAGGTGATCTAAGGCACTGATTGGACACACATAAACATGCAACACGAGCAAAAATGACAACACCACACCGAACATCGAACACCGAACAAAACAATGAGGAAAGAACAGACAGCAGGACAGGCAGATTTTGGAAACATAACATGTGACAAATGAAACAAACCAGCAAATAAGTAGTTGCCGAGTTGCTGGGGGGCAGGGGCGCGGAGCCAGCCACCTATCAGCGTTTTGAAGTGTTGCAAAACGGAGAAAAACCCAACACTTTAACGAGAGCAGCGTTGCTCGGGTGGGTGTCAGACCATAACTCTTGCTCGCAAGATCACCTCAAGATTTATTGTAAACGTATGCAACATAGTTATGTCGATGCCGCTGTTGCCGTGGTTGTAGTTGTTGCTCTTTGTGTTCGGTGATCTGTTTTCCTTTCCTATTTGTCGTATTTTCCCAATTCATTTTGGCATTTCTGCTTTTGGGGGCCGTGTCTGTAGCGTGTGACATTTTTTCGCCTAAACATTTAATCAATTATCATTTAAGTGGTAATTACTTAACACAGAGCAGCTAACGGAGCGGCTCAATTGTGTTGTTGCTGTCGCTGTTGCTGTTGTTGGCGGTGGTGTTGCTTTGCGGCTTTTGTTGTGTTGCCGTTTCTGCAGCCTTTTATGGCCAACGCCACCAAGTGCGTGCTTTGCACAACATAATAATTAATTATTTAATGCCGAACAAATATGGCAAAAATGTATTAATTAGTATCGCATTATGGTCAAAGTTATGTACGGCTCCGACATATAAATAATATTTGCTGTGAAAATTGACATGAACAACAAAAACAAGAATACTACAAAAAAAGCTAAATATTTAGCCGCGCAATTGTCGGGCAAGAGTGAATCCTATGTGAATTCTTTTTTAAGGAAAATCACTGAAGGCAATTTCCCACGCTGCATGGATTAGGTGCTGAAGTATGGTAGGCGAGCATAAAAACCACAAACACACACACATATACAGATATTTGTTTGTATGTAGAGCAAAAAATTGATTGGAAGAAAATCACTGGCATGGCTAAACAAAAGACTTAAGAAACAAACATTAGCAAGAAATGATGTCCAGAGAGGAGAAAACTCGCGTTTATGATTTTTATGCCCTCCACTATTCTATGGTATATTTTCGTTTGTAACTTTTCGAAATACTCATGTTAGATCCTACAAAGTATTCTGGATCAGAAGACACACGCGTGTATTTTGCCAGTAGGCAGGTTAAGTTCGTAAATGACCCATGTCCGTCCAAGTTTTCGTATAACCCCCATGTAACGGTACCTCCCAATATTCGTTATTGTAATGATTTTAGCGATATTATTCACTGCAAATTTCGTATTTAAAGTTCGGAATCGGTATGGCAGAAAATTACTTATGCAGGTCCACATCTTCGTATAGCTCCCATTAGCGGTAGCCATTTAAACGGTATTTTTCGACAGATTTTTTTTTTTTTTTTTGTGAAATTTTTTGAGTTCCTTCCAAATGGCGGAGGGTATTAAAAGTTCGGCCCGGTCTAACTTAGCAGCTTTTAGAAACGAAAACCTTCTATTATTTATTCCGTAAATATGATCAGTCATGTTCCCGATCTAAACTTAATCTCCCACTCCCCACTCCTTGGAACAATTGGTTTCATCGTAAGAAATGTTTCCAAGATATCCAAATCGGAATCCAGGATCATTTGCCAAGCTAGTTCGAATAACTAAACACCAACTCAATTTCAACTTACCCACATAATCACAGTGATGAATCCGACGTTTCTCCAGTTCGGGATTATTGCGACGATTATAGCGGACGGTTCGCACTGTCGGCACAATGAGGTTGGCTAAATGAGCAGGTGTTGTCGGCGCTGAGTTGCCGCCTCTGGGAGCCGAGCTGTTCTGAGCTGTGTTGGATGTTGTTGAGTGATTGGTGGAATTGCCACTGGCCGACGATGACGTCACCAAAGTTGTACTATTGCTATTATGGCCCAATGCAGTTAACGACCGACCCGGACTCATCAGGTGACCAGTGGCAGTTGTTGCCGTTGAACCGGAATGTAAATTCATAATCTGGGGACAAATGGATGATAGCGGATGGCCCTGCTGTTGTTGCTGCTGTTGCTGCTGCTGCAATTGCTGATAAGGCGGAGGAGGTGTACTACGTCGAGCTTGTTGCTGATTGGCAGCAGCAGCAGCGTGTGCTGCAGCCGCCATTGAGCTACCCGGACTTCCGGGATCAGAACTTGGAGGTGTCAGCGGTGGTACGAACATATGTCGGGCATTGCTATTGGCGCTACCACTGCTGCTGCCGCCACTGCCAGTTTGCGATTGCGTTACAGGTACCGAAGCAGGTGGACACAGCTGAAGATTAGACATGGCGTTGTGTGGTGTCGGCGGAGGGGGTGCTGGTATTTGGTATTTGCCATGGAACGGCTGTAAATAGCGCAAGAAAAGCAAAACACATTCAGATCCGTAACGGACAAATGGCCAATTTATCAGTTGCCATATTTATTCATGTAAATATGACAAGAAGAATGCAATCTAATCAAACGGCAATTGGTAGATTGTCGTTACAACTCACCTGACTGCTGTGCCACGGGTATGGGGTGTTGGTGCTGGAATAATTATTGCTATTGCTATTGTTGTTGTTGTTGCTGTTGTGACTACCATTATTATTGAGACTTTTAAGATTTTGCAATGGTGTCGAGGCATTGGTAATTGTACTATGCGAACCCTGCTGCTGGTGGTTATGGAGGTGTTGACTCTGCGGATAATTATGGTGGGGTTGGTGTGGATGCTGGAGACTTGGATGTTGCTGATGATGCAGATGTGTGTGGGGATGGTGTTGAGCTGACGCCGCTATACTTAGTCCATCATTTAAGTAGCTCTGGCCGTATTGCGCTTGATACGGAGCCAAATGATCTGACGTTCCATTTAGCGAGAGGAGATTGGAGTTCATCTCACTGCTGCTGCTGTTAGCACCAACTCCCATTTCGGCATTGTGACTGCTCGCCGTGCTGCTACATCGATTCGATTGATTTGGACTATTGCTGTTGCTGTGCAGCAGGGAATGCTGCTGGTGGGCTGTGGGTTGTTGGAGTTGTGGCTGAGACTGAATCTGAGGCTGGTGATGTGTGCTGGGAAAGAGGTTGACTAAATGATGCTGGGTGTCGTCCGCTAAACTGGGATGATGCTGGTAGAGGTGTTGTGATTGCTGTAAGTGGTGCAACTGTTGCTGGTGCTGTAGTGGTGGCTGATGATCCGTCGTCATGGCACTGCCATATCCATGCTGCGGATAGTAGTGTTGTGTGGGTGTTGTCGGATGCTGTTGTTGCATTGTCAGGCCGCTCGAAACATTCTCCTTTTTAATATCCAAGGGACTGAGCACTGGTGTGGACAAGGTTTCGAGCAAGGTGTCATCGATTGCTTCTATTTTAACCTGTGGCAGCAGGGCATTGCCCCCAACCGCTGTCGATGGTGTAGCAGGAGTACTGCAATGTTGATTATGCTGATGATGCCGTTCATGAGAAATACTATTCAGCTGGTTTGGTGTTGGTTGGACGTTTGTCGTTGTTGAGCCTAAAATCGGAGCATTAACAGGATCGATATCTTGTATTGAGCTAGCTATTTCCTCCCACAGGGCAGGGCGGCCATATGGATCGTCGATACTATGATACGGATTGCACGAAGCCTCTTTATGTTTGGTGTCTGAAAATACGAAGATATTAGAGATTGCGAACTCTGGAGAAAGGTAAAAACTGGTTGAGCAGAAGAATATTTTATAATGGAACAATTGAAAACAGTTAATTGTACAAAAGCTTACAAGTGTCTGTGTAGATTTTGATACATATATTTCCTATTCGAGAGAATTTCGTTATGATTTAAATCATAATTCGAATTACAAAAAAATGGAAATATACAATAATAAGCTTTCCTAAATTTTGGCATGCTGGTTTCTACGCGTTCGTGTCTTAAGTCTGTCGTTTGTATGTAAATGCTGTCATGAATAATGTTGTCATTCATTCGCGCAGATCTTTTTTCGCTCGTTTTTTTAGAAGATCATATTGCTTCATTTCTCTCCGCTGTTGTCGAAATTCAACAGCATTCGACCAGTCTTAATTAAATATTTAATGAACTGAACAAAATTTGTTAAGCCTTACAACACAGCGAACGATACAAAAGTCAAGCGCAGCTAAAAGATTGATGGCAAGACAGTCGGACAGACAGTCACATAGATGTTTACACAGACACCCCGACAAGAAGAGTATCGCATGGAGCGAATCGACAGCATCTCCGAGTCAATAATATAAATGTTAATCTAGCGTTAAATTCACGCTGAATATTTTTATCGACTTGGCAAAAGTCAGCTACAACAAGAAATGCTCATCATAATAACCGAATATCAAATTGAATAGTTTTGAACTTCATTCTGAAAATAACAGCAGGTACAGGTTTCTAAAAAGAGCCAGAGGAGCAGATTATAATTTACGCTACGCTGATTCACTTTGAGTGGAAGTTTGAAATTACGAATATTTGGGGGCATCGAAAATTGGTACCTTAAGCCGTTTGTACATTAGCGGTAATTTGACGTAATTCGTATAGGGTGATCCGAATATGTGCTATTGGTCTAGTTGGAATATATTTAAGAGACCATCTAAGAAAGCGTTGAGGTGCTTTCTTTTTTGGTTCGATCGTATGATAAATTTAATCGACTTTTAACTTCTAAACACCCTTACTTTCCTATTTCACTTAAAATTTAACAAAGATGTAGGGTGTAGATTGAACAAAATAGCTTACCAAATAAATATTCTTTATCACTAGTCGAAGCCGTGCTGTAGTAGGGATTATTGGCCTCATAGCTAAATGCGGTGGCGGGTGTTGCCGAGGAAGTCGTTGCTGCTGCTGCCGCTGCGGCTGTATGATGAGGTGATCTGTTGGGATGCTGTCCCATGACAACGGTGGGTGTGTGCACCGCAATGGTGGTGGTAGCTGTTGAACCCACCGTTGAGTGTGGAGTTCCAGAATATGGAGATGTCTGATCATGGCTGCCGTTGCCACTGGAGTGCCACTGATCGTTCAGCTGATTGCTGTCCGTTGTTGTCGCACTGTTGCTATTGTTATTGGCAACACCGCCACCACCATTGCTACCGCTACTGCTGCTGCTACTGTTACTGCTGTTGTTATTGTTGTTGGTGTTGGAATTGCTATTGGATATTTGCTGTTGAAAGTGATGATTGTTGCTGTTGGTGTAGCTATGCAGCGTGTGATACGGTTGCTGTTGTTCTTCTTGTTGAGGCAGGTGATTCAAATTCTGATGATGCTGGTGGTGATGCAAATGGTGGTGGTGGTGGTGATGATGGTTGTGAGTTGGAGTGGCGGTAGTTGTCAGTACTTCCAATTCCACATCTGGTTCAATCTTGTGCAAACGTCCCATCAGCTCATGCCGATAATCCAATTCGGGAGACTGCAGAGAAGAAAAACATAAAAAAGAGCAAACTTGTTAGATTTAATCACAACGTTCGTTCGTTCGTTCGTTCGGTCGTTCGAACACGAAACTTATCATAATTCTCCACTAAAAATACAATAATATTTTTAATTGATTTTTAAATTATCTTTTCATCACCATAAATTTTGTGCGGCCACAAATACCTGACCAAAAACGACCGCAGGAATCCAGAGACGAAATTGGCAGTTACTCAAACCGGTATCATTTGTCTAATAAGCCGCAGCCGCAAAACTTGAACCAACAGCCATGTCTTAAAAGAAATAAGTGTTACTTTTAACACTTATGCGTCAAAGCGATGCTGTCCGCGATCGCAGTCACCTCTCGAATTTTATTTGGCTTTCTGCTGTTTGTTTTTTCCTCTTTGACTCTTTTACATATCAAATCGTATGTTTATGTGATTTTTATTATAATTACATTGTGTCTGTTTGTACGCATTTGGATGTTTTGTTTTGTCTTTTTGGCCGGACTGACTGCTTGTCCGTCTGACTGCCTGCTTGTCTATTCGCCAGTCTGGCTTTGCAACATTAATGCTCTTTAGTATATCCAGGCATTTAAATGATAAAGAAAGGAGACATTTGTGTCACAAAAATTTATGCTTTAGTTTTGACCAGAGCATCAATTGCTTTGCGGTTCCCACTTAATAATTGTCGATTAAATGATTGCATTTTTAGTAATCGGAGTCAAAGTGTTTTTTATTAATAACAAAATAAAAGTTGTTATATTTATTCGGTACAAATGCAACAAGAGTCTCACATGGCACAGTAGATGTAAATTTCAAATATGTTTCTTACCCACCACCACCCCCACAATCTGAAAACTTCCTCAGCAACATCTAAGACACGATTGAAACCCAAAAAAACCCATTCATTTCTACAGCCAGGTCACATGCCCATCAAATTTAAAGAGTTTTTAATAACAATCAGAAAGAAGACAACTTTTTAATAAATTTTATTAATATCGTTTGTCCGACAAATGACTGGAATACCAATCGCGTCGAATCAAGACACATTAGTGCGGGCAAATTAAATAAAAATTCAAAAGAGACAACAACAACAAAACGAATAAAAGAACTTTAGACAAAAAATCCCTAATAACTGCAAATAAATATTTCCCCATGTCGTTTCGTTGTTGCTTCTGGTGGCACAGAGAAAGAGTCCACGGCTTATTGCCACCGAGGTGGAGGCAGAAGCGAAACATATTTGTGCGTGCGCATTTCAACACACACGCACACATGCTCACACACGAAAATATTAAAATTCATACTTTGTATATTCAAATTGTAAAACTTCATTTATTTTTAACGCGAAATACCGTTCATTTATGGCCACAACAATGCGAAGCCTTTGGAAAGAGACACAACGCTTGCTGGAGACAGCAAGAACATAGAGAATCGCCTACAAACTGTTAGCTTTGTTTGTATTACCCCCAAACGAGGGGTAGTTGGAAAGGTTGGGAAAATGATTCGAATAAATTATGCCAGTTGGAATTGAATGTCGTATCCTATGTTAAAATTTATCGATGTAAAAAAAAGAGAACATTGGAGAAGAGATTGCTGAACAAATTGAATGTGTTTCGGTTGAATTGTTTTCTATCCAAGATACACGCCGTTATGTCACATAGTGTACCCAATTCCATGCCAACTGAAATAATTTTAAAATTGCCTCTGAAGGCATGCTCTCTTAAAACTCTGCATCCCAAATGAAAACTGTTCTCAAGAATTGGTGGGTAGTTCGTAACTTGAAGAGAGTGTCCTTATCGTCAACGAAGTCAGAAATACACCCAGATAGCCATGTCTGACTGTAAACCATGCACTACAAAGAGATATAAAATGTCAATATTCGCACAATATATGAAAAAAAAATATAATATTACATATTAGAATTCAAATCGTGGACAAAAAGACGTTCCGATTGTCAGACTTGTTACCTTCGACTTTATCAAAATTAATATATGAGGTTACAAAGTCAATTTGGAATGACAATGTGCTCTTAAATTAACGGTTGAACACCTATTCTCCTAAATTTCAGAGAGTGACTCTGGAAACGTCCTGTGTTGAACATGCCATTCCGCTTTCAGAGTTATTGTCAAACTTTTAAAATCAGATGGAAAATATGTTTCACTTCACATTCCATTGACAAATAATTAAAGAAATATTCCCCTTAATTATTATACGGACGTCGATGCATTGAATTCTTTTGAGCAAAACAGTTTTATGTGACTTGGTCGACAATCCAAACACTTGTCCGTTTATGCCCAGGCGTCCATTAACTTTAATGTGTAAGAAGACAATCAGTTAGGCAGCCAGTCCGTCAGCCGATACGGAGATACATGTGTATTCTGTTGCTAGTGGTGACGATTATGTAGTATTGATCATGATCGTTATTATCGTCATCATCATCATTATTGTTGGTTGGTGTTGTTATTGTTGTTGTTGTCGTCGTCATGAGCACATCAGCATGCGTTTAGGTTAATTTTATGGAAGTACTTAAAATTCCCTAGGGGTTCTATGACAATCTCACGTGTTACGCATGCTTATGAGGTCATTTGCGTGATTTTGCAAAACAAGTGCAAGTTATGTTTTGATAGGCAGTTTTTTCTCCATCTTCTTCTTCTTCTTCGTCGTCGTTTCCCAAGTCTAATCGAAGTTCTGTGCTGTGGCAAGAAGGGGGCATATTGTGCCATGGCAGTTTCAAAACCATTCTTGACCCCCGCCCGCTCCGAATCGGTGTGTCCACCAAACACGTTTGTGTATGAACAAAAATTTAGTTGTTTTATGTTTGAAGTCAAAATTTATGATTCAACCTCCATTTGAATATAGCTTCGTGGTGAGCTACATACGAACAAATTAAGCAAGAGTCAAACTACAAGACAATAACACACTTTCTTGTTTAGATTTATGATTATTAGAAAATTGTTTTTTATGCAAATGAGCAACAGTGTCAATAGAAAATTGTCCAAACAATTAATTTTAAATGGCAATAAACACTTGCTTATCTCCTTCCAACCACGCGGGAATATGTCGTGCTGGAAACTCTGACAATTGTAGTGTTTGAGTATATTGCGATAGTTCCAACATTTTGCTTCATATCAAAATCATTGCAGCTCAGATAATTCCACAAAGGGAGTGAGCATTTTAAGAACAAAGTAAATCCACTGGAATGACGTTCGCAACAAGCGAACAACTTGGGCGCATTGGGCGATTAGCAATATCCACAATGCGGCAAAAAAAAAGATACCAGCAAATATTAAGTATCTGTCTGCTATTTGCTCGAACACACAAATTGCATGTAACGCGTAAATAATTAACGTAATTCAACAAACAGACATTGAACGATTACCGCAATTATGTATTCAATCATGATAGCGAACAAAAGATTTAAGCAACAAACATGATTTCTACATTAATTACAGGCTCATTTATTTGCTATAATTTATTTGTGCGTGTGTGTATGTATGTGTATGTAGTTTAGTTGTTTGTCTTCGGGCGATAATTCTGGGCATGTGAAAATTTTCAAAAAAAAAATATATTTTCAGTAATTAAAACTACAAGGGAAATAAACGCTCAACTCCACGATACAGTTTTTTACAGTTTTAGCATTTTTAGGATATACACTTTTTTTAAAAAGTAGTAGCATGATTACCAGCTTTTGACTGTCTGATATGTCGCAAAATCTCCCTTAAGTTCTACAATTTTTTCTTATGTATTTGGCTTCAATTTCTGTCAGAATGAGAGAACTCTTTCGCTCTTTGCAAAGTAACATATTGAGCTAGTCTCGTCGAAAATATGCTATAAATTTGTGGAGGCTACATCCAAATTTGGGACTGTGAACCATTTTTCAAATCGGTAAGTGTCCCTTGGGAAATTTAATTCCCTTGTCAAAGGTAGTACAAACCATAAACATTCGGTAGGTACTAATCATGTACCTATGTATAAATAACCTTTGTCCAAAAAATTTAAATGAGCAATAAAAAATCGATAGTCCTATTGCAAATAATTCCGTTAGGAAAAGAAATTGAAAACCTTCAAAAAAATGCCTTAAATCGGGATATGCAGATATATGGGAGCTACATCAAAAACAATAGCTAAATTGGTTTCCATTTTCCCCCGAAATCACAAATAGCGTACAAATGACCCTGTTGGTACCCAAAATGCCGGATTATGCCCAAAATGGGTTGTAAAATATCGCAGAACTCAAATAGCCCATACATTGGAAGTACGGTTATGTAGAAGCTATCATAAAACGTGGGCCAGTATATTCCATTTTGAATCTCACACAACCTTTAGATTGGATGGGTTATTGATCATCTAGATCGCCCCGTTCCAAAAATTAGATCGATTCCCATAGAGGAAAATATAGAGAGGCGGGAATTTAACGCTGGTCTTAAAGAACAATTTGAATGGAAATGACAAACTTAATATTCACTCCATAGTAGTGTGGAGGGTATAAAAGTGCGGAAAATATCACATATTGCAAAATAACCAACTCTCTCTCTCTCTCTAACCTACACACATTCATGAAGCTAATCCCAGTGCACCAATTTATTATTGACCACATTTCATGTCACTAAACTGGCATTCAATTGCCAACATTTTTCCATCCATTTTCAGTCAAAAGAATTCAATTTCACATTCGTTTATAGGCATCAACTTATGGTCGTCGTCGACTCATTCAGGCTACTGCAGGAAAATCAAATGGTCACAGTGTGTGTGTATGTATCTTGTTTAGCAGACACAAGAACTTACATATGTACACATCTCTTGCTGCCGCCTTCCACCTCCGCCACTGTTTCCAGAGGTGCCGTCGATTACTTTCATTTTAACGCATTTACAGTCATTATAATTTTGTGCTCCACGGTACCTTTTCGGTGGTGGTTCATGTTTGCGAAAAGGAAGAGGTCCATTGGGTCACAGTTGTCACGTTTTGTTGGCGGATGCAGTGTTGTGTACATACCGAAGG